TTTGGAATGCTTTGTTTACCATCCTTCGCACCTGCTGTGACACCACCTTATTTTCTCTTTCTTTTCTTTTCTCCCTTCCTTCTCTACTTCCTTCCTTCCTCCTCTCCGTCCCCTTCTTCCTTCCCTTACCTCTTCCCTACTCCTACCCTTTTTCTTCTCCTTCCTACCCTCTCTCCTTCTCTTTTTCTCTCTTCCTCCCTCCTCTCCGTCCCCTTCTTCCTTCCCTTACCTCTTCCCTACTCCTACCCTTTTTCTTCTCCTTCCTACCCTCTCTCCTTCTCTTTTTCTCTCTTCCTCCCTCCTCTCCGTCCCCTTCTTCCTTCCCTTACCTCTTCCCTACTCCTACCCTTATTTCTTCTCCTTCCTACCTTCTCTCCTTCTCTTTCTCTTCCTCCCTCCTCTTCTTCTCTCCCTTCCACCCGCCTCTCCTTACCTCTTTCTTCTTCCCTTACCTCTCCTCCACAGACCTTACTTTTAGATCCTACTTAAATTGGGTTCACTGCTTCTCCAGCGAATTACACCGACCTCCAGGCAGACTTAGCAAAAGTCCATATGGGGGAGCTGCTGAGTTGCTTTCACCAGAGAAAAGCTCCTGGTGGTTCTCCAATGTGGCTGTATTTTCCTTTTGTGTGTGCATTTTTCTCTTGGGCGGAAATATTGTGTCCTTACGCATCTGAATGCACTGAATCCTTCTCAGCATTGTTTTCCCTCTGATGGAAGAACCCACGGCTTCTCTTAGCCCGGTTTGTATCACCTTTTTGAGATTCTAGTTCCTGATGATCACATTGTCTTTCTTTCTTGATGAATCCCTTAATTGTAGCCGCTTTACAACCTTCTAAATGCGGAGGCTTGCATGTGCTGGAGAACTAATAGACTTCATCCGGAGCACTGATGTAAGCTTGTTTACATCATCCTTCAGATAGGATAGAATCTGGGGCTTCGGAAGCCCAAGTTAATCCTCCAGCCTTTGTTTATGCTCAAAATTATTGAGATTTGAGTTATGTCTCTGGGCCTGACTAATAAATTGGAAATGGAAACTTTGTGGAATGTGTGTGTGCGCGTGTATAAATAGTTAAAAGAGGATTTGTTTGCTCAATTGAAGATTTTCATGTACGGAATTTGGCTAACTTGGATCAGATTTTCTATTATTAGAAAGACTCTAAAGCTAATGCTTTTAAACAATTGCAATCTTTAAATATATTAATTTGCTACTGATATGTTTATACAAATGCTTCTTTTGTTACCAGAGTAGATATATCACTGGATGAACTTTCTAAATATAAATCTTTTTTTTTTAAAGATAAATGCAGTATTCAAAAAATATTGAGATAATGGTTATTAAGCATTTTGATCTGCCACATTTTCTATTCTTTTAACAAATGTTAAAAAAAGTAAATGTTATTTAAAAACAATTATAGGTGGTATTACCTCCTATACTTTGAATATTAAACAATCCTTGGGTCACATTTCTTCAACAACTAGAGTTGTGGCCCAAATTTGTGGCTTCATAATCCTAGTAGGATAGCTTTTGAAAGTCATCCATTTCTTCTTCCAGGGATTGAGAAAGAACTCCCAACTACTATCAGCCACTGAGAGTGGTTACTCTCAGTGTCAGGGAAGGCTGATGTCATCAGAAGGGTCAAAAAAGGAAATGATGATTCTGTAGAAGATGGATTAAGAGGGTTTGCATTTGCCAAATTTCTAAGAGACCCCAGATTTTTTGCTGATTCCCAACTGGAGGTTTGGATATATGTAAATATATCCCTTTTCGTTGGATTTCAGCCCTTTCGTAAGTGGAAATCAGTAAAAGAATGTGGAAGAAATTAGATGCATGCACCGTCTTACCACCTTCGCTTCTGTCAAATTTGATGTTCTTTTGATTTGGGCAGTTTAGTAAAACACCATCTCAGAATCTTGTTAGAAGTATCACAATTTTCTGACTTATTAAGGATGTATGTGTTTTGCAGCTACAGTGATCAAGATCATAGTCCAAAGTATTTTTGTAGTTTTATATATAAAA